AAAGCCTTCACCCCTTCGGCCTCGTTTACAACCCCCCAGTTGACAGTTGGCGATGTCTCTGGCCAGTGGGTTGTATGTCTCCTCTCGCTGTTGGTAAAGTTGAGACACCGGCTGGACTACTTTGGAAGTGCCAGGCTTCCTCCACTGGCACTCAACATCTGTGGAGCTGATCTGCCACATGGAAAATATTGCCAATGCTGCAGCGTGGCTGCATTTGTACATCTCCTGTGCACAATCACAGACAGCGCTCTGCATCGCGCCATCGTCTCCCATGCAGATCTGTAAAAATAAAGTAAGTACCATTTGTTAGCATGCTATAATAGATTGAATGAGTAATAATACAAGGATGGTCCGGATCTGGGGGTGGGAGGGTTTATTTTTCCATAGTGTTGTCCTCTTGTCTGTTGTTATTGTTTGTTTTTTCTGTATTTTTTGTAATTTGTGTTGTATTGGTTGTGATTGTACATTGTATGTTTCTAAATGTGTATGAATACATTTTTGAAAAACATTTGATCAACAATAAAAAAGGATTTGGTCAGGATCTAGACTCAGTGTGTAGTTTATTAATTAATCAATGCTCTCTACATTAGGAAAACACATACCGGTGTACCAGAGGGAGTCACACACAGCTGTGACTAGATAACCAAAATCCTTGAATCGACACACAGCAAATAAACTCAAATGACGAGAAAAAGGAGATCACACATACAGTATAGTCGATATAAAACTGGCCGCTTCAATCTGAAGAGCAACTAAAACAAAACACGGGAGTGTACCTTGTTCTTGTGAACACTAATGTTATCCACAGCATACACAGAGACCACGAAGTTCTTAAGGAGAAAACTAGTTGCTAAAACAAAACACGTTAGTGTACCTTGTTAGCTAATGTTAGCTAGCTGACATTAACGTTACACATTGCACTCATATTACTCACCGAAACCTTGTAAAGCCGGTCCCGCATGCTGGCTCTTACAGAACCGACTAACTCCCCTTTCATATAGGTACAGCTCTCAACGTGCCCAGACTTGTAGTGATTTTCACCTCGTAAAATACTTTTATTCTCATTCTGAAAGAATGTGGTGAAATGTGCTAACGTGACGGCCATCTTTATGTTGGTGACGCGTATTGTGCGAGACGAGAGACCTGTAGTTCACGGAGCGGTTTCACACGAAAAAATGTGTAACTTCACAGTTTTACGACACATTTTTATTTTTTTGACTTGCAAAATGTTCTTTTAAATTGACAAACATCATATGTGTCATTCGTGGCACAATTCAAACGGGATCAAAAGATAACCTTTCTCTCTCCATTGACTTCAATGTATAATTTTCCGCTTCCGGGGTCCCATGGAGGCTTTCGGAAGGGGAGGGACTTCGCCTCTCTATTGAGCTTTCCTAGATGGTTTGGTGAAACCATCTGAGTCAGGTTAGTAATGCTCCATCACATGTTTCTATTACAGGGAGAATCTTAAACTGAAGCTTGACTTTAAAGCAGCCCAACGGAAGTCTCATGTAAGTTTAGTTATTTCACTCGTAGCTCGGGCTGCGGGGGTGCTAGAGATGGGAGCACGTTGATGCGACCTTCCTAGCCGGAGATATGGCCGCATTTTACAATGAACTTCCGTTGGGTCGCTTAAAAACAAATATCGCAAATCGAATTGCAATATTTGTCAGAAAAATCGCAATTAGATTATTTCCCCAAATCGTGCAGCCCTACTCCATATACCAACTGAGGACTGAGCAAATAAATAAATACAATCATATTAAACTTTCATTAAGATTGTATCCAGTTAATGCAATAATGAATGCATATTATGGACACTGTGTGTTTTGACTGAGCCTAGCATCTTTTCTCAGACTCTATAATTTATTTTTGCAACATGGTTCCTCACTCAGGAGCAAAGGAAGGCGTTTCTCTTTGTTTTGTGTTTCTGTTGTCTCCTTTTATTCCTGTAACCTTGTCCCCTTTGTTATTTCTGCTCGAGGAGAATAAAGCGGTTTGTGGTTGCTCCAAAGTTCATTCCCAGACGTTGTATTGCTTAGTAAATTGGCTCCAGATCCAGCTTTAATTCTCTGTGTAGCAGATCAAGACAGTTCTCGCTAAAACTGAGTCAGGACTGCTGGTGTAAACAGAGACGGGGCTTTCTGGCTTGTGGTAATCGAGGAGTTAACCTACGAATAAGCATGTGTTCATCAAGGGATCCGGATAGTCTCACTCCCACACTAGAGAATCAGATTTTAGGAATTACATCCAGTCTTTTTCAGAAGTTAAAGCCAAGTTTTAGCGATTGCTCACATTTCCAGTTTTTTAGTGTTGAAATTGAATCCACTTTATAATTTGTTTATGTTTCACTATGGCTTAAAGGGGACCTATCATGCAAAATGCACTTTTTGATGTCTTTTATACATAAATATGTGTCGGGGAACTCACGCAGCTTCAGAAAATAAAACCCTCTCTCTTTTCCTCCGTACCCAAATCTCTAAAAACGGGGCTACAACGGAGCTGATCCAGATTTGCGGCCGATATGACGTAATATCTGAAATGTGGACCCACGGGCCAATCAGAAACGTTGCTATCAGAAACAATGCCCGACTGTTTTGGACGTAATATGGTCGGTGTTTACGTTAGCATCGCTAACACTCAGAGCTAACCTGTACTGGAGAGCATGTGTGTGAAGAAGCAGGAAATAAAAAGGAACTCACCTTGTGGTATAACCGGCAAGAGAGAAAGCCTTTGAGCTCCAAACTGTTTCAGAAAGAATCCTTGATAATCCATGATATGGCGTTTCATCACCGCAGCATTTAGTTTAGACAGTAGCTGCCGGGTCCTGCATGAGCTCAGCCCGCTCCTTTTTTATTTTGTATCAATCTTTTTATTTTTAAAGCTTTATACCCCAAATCAGCACTTTTGAAACAGGAAGTGAAACAGAGGGATATGAGGCATGGCTAGAATGGGTGATCTGTTTGGTATTTTGAGCTAAACACTTCATAGACATGTTCTTTATATTTGTATATATCTGAGACCTATGCTATTGCCTAAAAATAGCATGATAGGTCCACTTTAATATTTTCAATAAATCACTTTGAATTGCCTGTTGGAAATGTGCTCGTAAATAAACTTTCCATGCCTTTATCTTTGGTTTATTTTCAAAGCTTTAATAGTTTTTGGGTGAAAAGTGTCCATCAGTACTGACTTCATGTCCTCAAATGTCTGGTTTTCTCCACAACTCAAGATATTCAGTTTCACGAGAGAATACACGAGAAAATATTCACATTTAAATAGTTGGAATGACATCATTTTGACTAATTTGATTGATTTTTTCTTAAAGGGGCTCTATAATGCTATTTTTTATGATCATATCAGTATTTAGTGTATCTACTGGGACATGTCTCCATGCTTTAATGTTCAAAAAGCTCTTTATTGTTCTCATACTACCTGTGCTGCATCACCTCTTTTCACCCTCTGTCTGAAATTAGAGCCCAGTCTGCTCTGATTGGTTAGCTTGCCTGCTCTGTTGTGATTGGTCAACCTCTTAGAGATATCCCGCCCCTTAGCCTATCACGTACAATATGTTGGAGCGTGTAATGGAATGATGATGATTATCAGAGAATTAGGGAGGCGTGTGGCGCAGTGGATAGAGCCTTGAAGTTGGGATCAGGGTTCAAACCCCACTGCAGTCAACATGTCGTTGTGTCCCTGGGCAAGACACTTCACCCCAAATTACTCCTGTGGGGATTGCCCACAGTATTGAGTATGTAAGTCGCTTTGGATAAAAGCGTCTAACAAGTAACAATTAAATGCTATGATGTTATATTTAACATATAAATAATTCAATTCTGTAAGCCTTACATGTGGAGAGACAGTAGATCTCAGCACCCAGGAAGGTGATCAGTGACAAGGTGTCATGTGACCACACAGTGATCTGATGATGGGTCTATTATACTCTGATAGGGTCATGGTTCAGTTATCTCATGACTAAGCATATTCATTGTAACTGTATAAAAGCTCTCTCTTCAGTTGGAGTAGTTGCACTCGGCTGTGGAGACATTACTCTTCATGTTGCCTCTTTTGCAAAAGATTAAAGGACCAGAAAAACACCTCTTTGACAAGTTAATATCAAGAATTTCCACCACAAGCGCTAGCCAATAGAAGCGCTATTGTTAGTGTGTGGGGGGAACACGGGGATTTTAGCCACTCAAAAAAGCACTCAAACCTATAGAACACACTACAGGGAAGATAAAACCCAAAAAAGCCAAATAAAACCTCTTGAAAAAGTGACTCAAACTAATTAATTGGTCAAAATAGTTGGCAAACACTTCAAATCCAATAATTGATCATCTTTTCCCCGTCTACCAGGTTCCTTTTCAGATCAGTAAAGTCATTTTCTTTTTATGTAAGCCCATTAACATTTCAAAGTCTTACCTTGAGCTTGTTTTTTGCATGTTTGCTTCTGAACTTTTTCTAAAATGTCTGTCTTTTTGTGTCCCCTCCTTCCCTGTGCCCCTTCAGGAGTGGATCTGCCAGCCTCCCCTCTCCATTACACCCTGAAACCTGGGATGACCTTTGTTGCTGCCCTCTCCACCTCCTGTGTTCCTCCTTTCTCCTCTCCTCCCCTTTCCTAAACTCCCCTCCTCCTCATTCTCCTCGGTGTCTCCCCCTCTCGCCTCGGGTTTATTACTCTGGACTGAAGGGACACAGCGGCTGGCAGAGGATGAAGAGGGTCTGCCTGCCAACTCCAGACAGAGGATAGAGGGAACAAAAGGAGTTGGGATCAGAGAGAGAGAGACACAGAGATTAACGACTGGTGGACAAGAGAGGCAACGATTCAAAATGCCACAACGAAGGAAAAACACTTGAGCGTCATGAGCTAGCAAGGAGCCCCTAAAAAACACATCTTCTTCAACACACTTCTTGCTGTGGAGACACACACACACACACTCTCTCCTGCTCCTGGGGCTCCTTGTTAACACCTGATATGCCTCTGTGAGAAAGTGAGAGCCATGCCAGCCAAAGGGAAGTACCTGCTGAACGACCAGGAGCTGAAAAATGAGGTGCTGTACCGCAAGTTCTCGTACATCAGCCAGTACCAGCCGCTGGTGCTGCTGCTGGGCCTCTCCATGCTCTCCTGTGGCATCCTCCTCATCCTCTTCTTCGCCCTGCAACTGGTGAGTCTGCTCTTCCATGTGTTTGTTAAAAACTGTAAGAAATTCTGCGTTTTTTGCAGATTTCTCGATGGTCATGGAGAGCGTTTTAGGTTATTGATCATATGCAAAAGTTAGTTTATTTGTCCTTGAGCCCCTGTACTGTAATTGGAGTTTGTCACAATCTCCTTCACTGTGATCATTTATGTCAGGGTTCTTACGGTCATTGAAAACCTGAAAAAGTCATGGAAATTCAAAATGCTAATTCCAGGCCCTGGAAAAGTTATGGGAAACAATATTTTCCCCAAGGTTTTGGAAGTCATGGAAATGTAACTAAAGTTGCATCAAATATAATTTATATTTGATCTAATCGCCAAAATAGTAATACTATAATAATAATAAATACTGTATCGTGTAGAAAAATACAGAAAATATATTGTCAAAATTGTAGGCGATCATTTCCCCGTGGTAGAAACTTGTTGAACTACACAGTACTGCTTTTGTTGTGTTGCCCGTTGGCCACTGTTTTTGAAGTTTTCATAATCTCCTTCACCGTGCAGAAAACACATTTATCTGTAACTCAACACCTGTGCATCAGACTGTGAATCTGTGTAACATTACCCCACCAATCAGCAGCCATTGAGGCAGAGGAATGATGGCATCAGTTGTTCACGTGAACTACTGCACATGAACGACAGTTACTTTCCTCGAAGAGACATTAAGCTTCTCTAGTTGCGTCTTTAAAGGGCAGAAAATCCTTCTCTTGTAAAGCTTGGGATTATCCGGCTAGTTGTCATTTTTCTCCCTTTGACATAACCAATTATGTTGTACAACTTGGTGTTACCAGCTGGTGGGAACAAGACACTGTCAAACTGTGTAGATGTGCACAGGGTTGTATTTGAAGTATTAATTTCTCTCGTGTCCAGGAAGAAGTTTAAAAAGTAAGAGACAATGGAGTCTCTGAAAAGGGTCAAATTGGTTACTTTAATTAAAGGTGGGGTAGGTAAGTTTGAGAAACCGGCTCGAGATACACTTTTTTTATATTCCATGGAATGCTCTTAACATCCCGATAGCAATGAATATCTGAAGTGCTTTGACAAAAAATCCATAAAATCATGTCATCTGTGGAAGCCGTGACGCTGTAAAAAGCACGACCAATCATCTGAGCCGGCCCGGCTAAAATAACTGGATGGCCTACCTGCCTGTCAGCTTTCCATTTTGCACAAACTTATCTCGTGCCCTCATTGGTCATGTGCGCGTTCGTGTGTGTTGGAGGAGGGGCTCTGTAAGGAAGTGGCAGATTTTTTCCGGCTGTGTATTTTCAAATTCTAGCGCACTCGAGCTGGTTTCTCCAAAATTACCTAGCCCACCTTTAAGCAGCATGGTAATGAAACAAACAGAAGGTAGTGGGGAGAGAGCAGCTGCAGCTGTCCTCTCGCAGTCCCGGCCGTGAAGAAGAGGCTGAGACACGTTAGTTCTTCCCGCTTGCATATCCCCTTCGCTCCTCTTCTCTGCTCCAGGCGATGCAGGGTCTTCTCCCCTCGGTCTTCTATGTCCGATATCGCGTAAAACAGAGGATTTAGACGTAGGGTCTACATTGTATAACTCCACACGCCTTTCCCCCTCTTAATCTCTTTCATGACTTTTTATTTAATGCATTTTAACGGCTCCAATCGTTATTTACGTAAAACCGGAAGTTAAGCTCACTGTTGGTATTCCGGAGACTTCTTCAGGAATAGCTTTTCAAAATAAACGTTAGCATCAACGTTAGCCACTGGCGAATGCTAACCGGAAATGTTTTCACAATAAAACAGTTTTAAGCTTACTGTATGTTTAAACCAAGCGGCAAACTCTGGGGAACAGCCGGGAAGCCAATACGGAAGTGCCACACACTGCAGTTCATACATCGGCCGCTAGGGACTGGCTGCAGAAAGGAGCAATTTCCATAGACCCCCATGTTAAAATGCCCAACTTTACAGCAGAAAAAAACATGTTTCTACCCATGGATGCAATACATATTATTATCGATATAGTTAGATTCCACCTTCATGATTATGAATCTGTGAGTGAATTGTTTTCTAACACGACCCTTTTATTTATATTAGGTCTTAACGTTTTTGCATAAATTAGGGCGTGGTCACGTTGATGGACACGTACATTCCTCACTGTCAGCTAACAGCAACTTGTCCACTCTGCTAGGCTACAACCATAGAGGCTACAACGTTAGTTAGTCATAGTACTGTACTTGACCCTTTAGTTTTAGCCGTGTTCGTGGTGATTGTGCCTTTTAGGGAATATTGTTACAAATACCAGACAATTAAAATGTCGTGCTGTGCGCTTGAATGTACTAACAGAACTTCCAAGAAGTCTAAAATGATAATATTATACATGTTAACCCCGTTCGCAGGTGTTTGTGTGCTTGGTAGCTTAGCTTGTTACTTATTAGCCAGCTAAGGACGTAACCCTTTATGCATACATATACATTTTAGTTTATGATTCAGCCTTGGGTAAGACTTTTATAGTCTATGGCTATGACGCCCATAATGCTAAACGGGAGCAACGGTGGAGTCCGTCTTTTCTCAACGTGTGAATGACAAGCATTAAGAATAACAAAATATAGCTAATTCTCTTGCAGATTGTCTCATTTGATTATGAATGTAACGTTTATATAGGGGAACTACACTGTTTGCAGTAACTTGGTATGCATGTATTTCATGTTAGCTTAGCTTCTTAGCCTGAGCTAGCTCTGTTTACTTCCAGTTCGGAGGCTGCAGGTCCCGCCTCGGCTCCGCCTCTTTGCCCTTATTTGGATCAGGCGGGATTAGACTCTGACGTCACAGTCGAGCCGTTAGTGGCCGACTCCGCCTACTAAGGGCTTCACGGCAACTCTGCAGAATCCTATGGGTGACGTCACGGACACTACGTCCATTTATATATACAGTCTATGGTTTAAACTAAATTACGTCATTAAACATTGATTTTAATTTCTTACAATTGTCGTGCATACAGTATAAATGGCTTTAAATGTCAAACGCATTACTATGCTGTGACAGATTCTGACCTGATATGCCCTTGTTCTGTTTTCGGAGTATTTGTGTACTCTTGCTGGGAAGAGGAATGACACATCAAGATAGTAGATGGTGTAGAAATGTGAGTCATAATGAGTTTTCAGCTGATTTTAACACACAAATGAACTCACATGTAACAGTAATAACGAAAATTGCTGGATGTTTGCACTTTCTTCATCCAGTTTGACAGTCGTTTGAGCCTTTAAGTAACTTCACAGGTGTGCTTTCAAAGCAAAAGCAAAGCAGGTGCCTCAGATTTGAGCACAATGCTTCTTATTGTGCAGTTGGGTACAGGTGGACTCTAATGCACACATAATGGCTAATAAGCTATGAAATGAGGGATTCAGACAGTGAGTTAGGACTAAACATCCGAGGCTGCTCGCAAATCAATGCTCTAATTGTGCTGAAATGTTTTGATTAGTTGAGTTAACAATCTTTATGTGACACATAGACACCTGGTTCTGCAGTTTAACCCACACCATACTTACATTTAGCCGTCCATTTCTGTTGTATATCCTTTACAGCTAGTTGATTAAATCATGTCAGATAAGCAGATATTATTGTCCGATCAACTATGTAATTATTAGGTGAGATGCTTTAGATTAGATGCCTGGCGTAATGGATATCTTCTTTTTACATACACACTTTAACGTACTTCAATATTGACTTTACTTCTGAACTATATCTGTGATCCGTTGACTCTTTCATTGACTCGTCGTCTTCTGTCAAGTACTGACATTTAGCTCTTGAATTTGTAGAGTTGTGAGAAATAGTGTTTGTTAAATGCTTCTTAAAAAAAACTAAAATATTGAATTGACAACAACGTTAGAAAACTACCATCTTTATCCAAACATTTGAAGCAAGCCACAGGACATACTTTTGTTCTGTTACAATATTTTTGTGATAAGAGCAAGTGTCTTAAAGGGGACCTGTCATGCAAAATGCACTTTTTGATGTCTTTTATACATAAACATGTGTCCCCGGTGTGTCGGGGAACTCACGCAGCGTCAGAAAAATAAAACCCTCTCTCTTTTCCTCCGTACCCAAATCTCTAAAAACGGGGCTACAACGGAGCTGATCCAGATTTGCGTCCGATATGACGTAATATCTGAAATGTGGACCCACGGGCCAATCAGAAACGTTGCTATCAGAAACAATGCCCGACTGTTTTGGACATAATATGGTCAGTGTTTACATTAGCATCGCTAACACTCAGAGCTAACCTGTACTGGAGAGCATGTGTGTGAAGAAGCAGGAAATAAAAAGGAACTCACCTTGTGGTATAACCGGCAAGAGAGAAAGCCTTTGAGCTCCATGCTGTTTCAGAGATAATCCTTGATAATCCATGATATGGCGTTTCATCACGGCAGCATTTAGTTTAGACAGTAGCTGCCGGGTCCTTTTGAAACAGGAAGTGAAATAGAGGGATATGAGGCATGGCTAGAATGGGTGATCTGTTTTGGTATTTTGAGCAAAACACTTCATAGACATGTTTTTTATATATTTGTATATATCTGAGAGACCTATGCTATTGCCTACAAATAGCATGATAGGTGCACTTTAAATAACCTTTTAAAGCACTCGGTAAAGATAAAGGTGTTGCACTGGGCTGCAATACATGTAAGGTGTTTTATATATTTCTATCCACTAGGAGGAAGTATACAAATAACAATTGTTATAAAATAGATTAAGACTTATTTTAGAGAATCACTATGCCCCATTGTATATTTCTATACCTTCGATGGTACAAACATGATTCATTGAGTTGGTTAGAGTATGGGGACTCATCTTGAACATTAATACATTCACATGCAGCATAATGTAAAGAAGAGCAGGATGTTACAGGATGGTCAGTTTGAATCTCTGTGAAAATGTGAAAAATTGAAAACTCTGTCCTCTCCCTCGACATCTACTTGGATGAAGCTCTTGACTCCCCTTCACTAGCCGAGTGAATGA